GATAGATAGATAGATAGATAGATAGATAGATAGATAGATAGATAGATAGATAGATAGATAGATAGATAGATAGATAGATAGATAGGCCTGTGATGCACAGATTGCAAATGCCTGTTCAGTGAAACCCTTGTGCTTGACAGTCATCATCCTTAATGTTATTTGAGCCATGAATCATGTCTACATTTCATACTGTTCTGGGGGCACGGCTGGAGGCATAAGAGGACTGCAGAGGCAGATCCTCTTCTTCAGTGCCTCCCAAAAATGCATCTATGTTTCCCTAAATTCACCATCAAGCTCCTAAGCTGCAAGGGGGGACCATCATGGAAGCCTCCATGATCACCAGAAAGTGTGATTTGACATTGGATTTCTCTTTCTAAGGTTGGAGCTTCACCCAAGATTTTGGTGAGAAAGTCCCACTCTTTCCTGGGAGTGGAAAGAGTGGATAGTCATCAAAGTCCTGGGACACATCCTCAGGACCACTAGAGTACAGCATCAACCCCACTGTAAACAGATGGAAGACTATGGTGTTTTGTTTTTTTAAAAAAACCAAAAGTATAGAGGAAATATTCATGTTCATTTCCTCTTCACTGTGCACCCCTTTTTTCAAAGGCTTTGAAAAGAACTCCAGGATTTGGGGTGTTTTCCTACAGGTCTTCTCCAAAAAAGAAGGGGAAAGGGCTGTCAGGAATCTCAAATATCCCTCTTGAAGATTGGCTGGTGGCCTCTGGGGCCTTTTATATATAAAAAAACTATATATATATTGTTAAGAAGGATAAAAGTGCAGGCAGAAGATGCCAGAGGAAGCCTTTAAGGAAGAAAATCACAATAAAACAAAAAAGTGAGGGATTGCTCACAGCAAGATCCTATCTCAGCATTTATAGCTGAAGGATATGCCTATTGATAATATCAACTATATGAAGATTTTTGAGAGGCTGCAAGCTGTGATCAATTCTGGATGCTCTTAGAGCATTTCCCCATGTGATGCTTGATTTGTATATTTTCCCTCTTAAATTTTTCTTTCTGTATTTCCACTCAGAAGCAATAAAGTCGTATATGTTGCCACTTCCTTGGTCTTTATGGATGACACAGAATATCAGAGATGGCATGAGTATTCAGATAGAGCCTAGCCTCCTTCAGAGCAGAAGGATGAACTAGATAGTCTGGTGTGTCCCCTTCCTGCTCTATATTCAAACCAGATGAGTCACTCCTATTGTGTTCAAGCGGAGCTCTCAAAAGTGCACTCTCTCTCACACACACACACACTCTGGCATCTAATGAAGAGGGCATGTCACCAGCACTGGTATCTACACAGGACAGCTGCAGTTACCTTTTCAGATTATCATTCCTGAACTGGCTGGGAGACCCTGGGAGCTCTATTCCATAAAATATAACATTGCTGCACTCTGCTCCTTTTGTTTACTCTTGCATAGGGTAAAGAGAAGGACCTATGGCATCCAGACCCAAAGCCATCTCCTGGCCTGAGAAAAAGGTAAGGCTGTCTTGAGAACCACAGAGAGCATTGCGGTTTGTTGCAGCGGCAGTGTTCCTGAACCTACGTACCCTGTTCTCAAGGCACTCTCCTGTCACTAGATAGTCCTTATATTGTGTTTCATGCCCTGACAAATGCAGAGAATGTGTCACATGAACTCGACAGGGCAGGGTGTTGCAATGCTACAGCCTCTGCCTGACTAGGAAATACGCTGAATTAGTTTAAAAAAAGACGCTGCAAAAAAATTGCCAACTGGATCATGTTCATGTGGGTGATTTTGCCGTTTCTGAACGCTGGCCAGCTGCTGCCTCTACCTCCTCCCCTGTTGTTGCCAACACACTCACTCACACGGGTGACGGAACAAGCAGCACACACTGAATCCTTGTCTGGCTCTCTCTTCACATGGCAAGATGAGAATCATCGCCTTCACTTACAACACACTCCCTCCCCCACAGAACTATTATCAGAAAACATGAATAAACTGCCTTATGCCACCAATTTTGTCAAATCAAGTTAAGACCCAAAATAGGCCAGAGTCTTCAACAGAGCAAGGGTGCAGCAGAAAGGGGATGTGCACGATTCAGTTATTAATGAGCTGCTTTTCTTTGCAGTGGTCAGAATAAGAAGAGAAAGATTGAGGGAAGGCAGCTCATTTCTAGGACCAAAAACAGGTCTAGAACAGAGCTAAGTAGAGATAAACTTCAGATCTGCTGGTAGATTCCCAGAGGATTTACCATTGATCTGCAAGGATTTCTCACTTCCAGAAGTTTAACAGCAAAAAAAATGACCATCCCCAAGAAACTATACTTCCACAATAAAAATTGGGACAGGTTGGCATGACCAGAAGTGGAATTTTCCCTCCTTTCCTGTGTGGTTCCATCCTCCATTCATTTTGGGACTCAGAACAATCCTGTGTTCCAAATTATTTAATTCTAAGTATACATCATCTACATCAGGCTCCAGTTGCTAGTTTTGTTTGTTTGTTTGTTTTGAGTCATGGTACAAAAAAATAAAGTTAATCCCATGAGCCTGAAGTCTTCTCCTCAACTTCTTGTCTCCTATCCGGAATTTCATTGACAACCAAAGAAAACCCCATTCTACTGTAAGAAATCAATCAAAGATTAGCAAAAGCAAAGCAAAGTGTGCTGCTTTTATACCGCCCCACAGCATTTAACGCATTCTCTGGGAGGTTTACAATTATGCAGGCTACACGTTGCCACCACCCCACCCCACCCGCAAGCTGAGAACTCATTTTACCAGCCTGGGAAAGATAGAAAGCTGAGTCAACTTTGAGCCGGCTACCTGGGATAGAACCCGGGGGTTGTGAGCACAGTTTTGCCTGCAGTACAACAGTTTAACCACTGTGCCATGGGGCTCCTTAGAGATTACTTAGAATGAACTAAAAGCTAAGGCCACAATCATGCTCAGAACAAAATTCTTGTGCAACAATCAGGATGCTGTCTTTTAACAGTGGCCAATTTAATTAATAGCAGCCCCAGGCAATACCAGAAGAAGATAATCCTTGTACTTCTCTCCCAAGGTGTAGCAACATAAACTTGAGAATGCATGACAACTCTGAACAGCTGCTGATGTGTCATACTTAGAACATAGGGAAACCTTGTGTTTGTGCCCAAACTCTGGAAAACAACAGGAAAAACAACATCCATCTTCACTTAAACCAAATGAAACTGGATAAAATATCTATTTTACAGCTGCCAGCACAGGAAAAAGAAATGCAGCTATGAAGAAACATTCCTAGTCATCTTCAGTCCTGGCAACTGTCGCAGCTACATCAGCTCATTCAGTCATTGCTGCTGTGACATACAGGAAGCAGACTATTAGGTTCCTTGGAAAATAGGGACAGGGGTGGGCTGGCTCAGAGGCAGAGCCAGCGCTGTTCTGACAAGCAGAAGGTCCTTTAACATCTGAATACCGTGCAGCATTTCCAGTTCAGTGTTTCATGATGAATCTTTATGCTACATCACAGCGCAGCAATCCAGGAAAAGGTTCAAGAACCGTCAGATGTGGGTGAATATCCAGATGCAAAAGAGGCCTGGTCTTCTGTACTTTTAGTAGTCAGTTGTACACTAAAAGGACTGGAAACTAAAGATGCAAAATCACTGGCCTTGTTGCGTCTGATCACCTACTTAGGAATGTACTTTTGTGTGTTAACTGAAGCAGCATCTCTGAGCTGCATTCTCATAGCTTTCTTGCAAATAAACAAACAAATCCTTTCCACGTTATTATGATTCCACAACAATGATTTCAATGATTTCGAAAGGCTCCCTCATGACTATTATTACCCAACCACATGAAGAAGGCGGCAGGGCTCTACTCCCATTAATAGCTGTGCTGAAGAGGTGAGCCCTGCCCTCCTCTTCAAATGGCCAGCTGATACAAGACCTCCGCCCCCTTCTTTACCGGAAATATGGGCGAATTGCAGCAGCAACAAAACAGATCAGAGGACTGTCACAAGGTAAATAGGTTCGATGGGGAAATATTTCTTCTTTTCACGTTGATGTCAGGCTTCTTTTGAAGCCTTGGAATAGATATTTACTCTCAGTGGCAAAATTCAGGATGACAGCTGCAAGCAGAACATTAGTAAAATTCTTACTCTGCAGCACTGCAAGATCATTACAAAGGGCCTGGGGAGAACTGAACAAGGTGTCACCAGCTGCTTCTGTAAAACTGCCTGATCTTCCTGCTTTCTGAAATCAATAGTTGGGGGGGGCAATGCCATAAACAGAGAAAGCAAATTAGATGCAGAACAGTCACATGCTAACAGATATGTTCTTCTTTTAAATGGAGCATTATGTATTTCATAATCGCTGAGCACTGGGATTATGCAAACATCTTCTTTACCAGCACAGCCTTGTCTTACACGGCACATCCCATCAAACTGCTACTGGTGAGGATTGTCTATGTACTTTAATGGAGTATACAGAGAGGTCCCTTTCCGCATCTCACTGCCCCGCCTTGCAAAGGAGGAAAATCTGAAGTGTTTAATGGGTTGTTTCATGTGAAGTACATAAATGGAAAATGGAGAGCACTGATTTTTCCTCATCAAGGTTGATTAAATATTTATGAACTTCCACAAACTTACCATCTCTTGTATATACGGTATATTTTACAGATGCAATCAGGTCCTCATTTTCTAGTGTATCACATTCAAATGCAACGGGGTGAGTATCCCTGTGAACCTCCAGAATAGCTGAATCATTAGGAAGAATGAGTGATTGCTATCAATTCAAAGGTGACAAAAAAGACAAAGTTGGATTATCTCATAATGAGGAATGCACAATGCCAAAATGCTATGACATTGGGGTGGAGGGGAGGGCTCTCCCTTCTTGCTTACTTCAATGGCCCTCCTGATAGTTTGAATTGTAAATCAACTAAAGCCTGCAAAAGCAAAGTGTGCTGCTTATATGCTGCCCCATGGTGCTTCAGGCCCTCCCTGGGTGGTTTACAGGCTACACATTGCCCCCCCCCCAGCAAGCTGGGTACTCATTTTACCGACCTCGGAAGGATAGAAGGCTGAGTCAACCTTGAGCCGGCTACCTGGGATTGAACCCCAGGTCGTGAGCACAGTTTTAGCTGCAGTACAGCAGTTTAACCACTGTGCCATAGCTTCTGCTTCCGCTCCAGCCATTTGGTTTAGACATGTAGCATGATCTTAAACTTCTGACAATGGTTAATGATACTCTTGTCTTGAACACATTTTTCATGCAAACACTGATAATTTGGAAAGCCTGCTGTCAAAATAAATACAGTATTCTGGAAGTAAACAAGAGAGCTAGTGTGGATCAATGGGAAGCCAGCTGGACTAAGACTCAGGAGACCTGGGTTCAAATTCCTGCTCTGCCATGCAAAGTTACTGAAGGGTGGCATTCTATCATTCCTTGAATACCTCAACTACTTTGAAAACACTATTAGGGTTAACGTAATTGGAACTGATGGCACATAAAAGCAATTAACATACAAGAACAAGCAATGAGATGATGAACAAGTTTGGTTTTTTTGTTTTTTGTTTTTTGTTTTTTTGCAAATTGTCAGCAACCAACGGCCACTTTATAATTTACAAAATCACTCCACCCACTCACTCCCCCAAAAAAGAAGGGGGGAGACTTGATTATCAAAGCAAGGAACCTAATAAGAAACAGTCCTCTAAGCACATGAGTTATTTATTCTGCACAATAACCTTCAGAATATAAAATTTCTTCTTCAGGAGATTCTCTTCCCACAAATCTGTACCTCTGTGTTCTTCTTCTGCTGAAACATACCCAGAAGGAACTTTATATTCTGAAATACTCCAGGTATAGTAAATAACCCAGGCATTTAGAGCTGTTGCCATCAGAAGGGGATACCCATTCTAGAGCTTTTCATTCCTGCTCTTTCCATGCTTTCCTTGAGCAATGTGCTTAAACTGGGAGTACCTATGCCTAGAATAAAATAAAAGGAGGAGGTCTTTGCTTTGAATGTGAAAGAAATTTAGCAGAAGATGGATTTACACAGAGAGGTTTATTGAACTGGAAGAGTGTTGGAAGCGTGGAAGACAGTCAGTGCTAGAAGTGCTAGAAGTGAAGTGAAGAAAGAATGAAAGTATTTGTTCCTCACACCTTATGATTTCATTTCTATAGACACTTTGAAAGTTATCCTGCAGATAGCTACTTCTCTAATTTAGACAGTATACGCTAGGGAAATTGATCCATATTTTCTAGGTCTCATGAATGTAACTCGCCTAAAGCTACTTAGATAAGGTAAACTACAAACATTTTGCCAAACAAAGATTACTCTAACAGACATACAGTATTAGAATTTTTCATGTGGCCAGCAGGACTGTGTTTCTATATAAACAATTCAGTTAGTAAAAATATTGTCCAGGTTAGAACAAAACTATTCACCTCATCTGGAACCAAGAGCTTCCAAACGTACTGAAATCTATTTTCTGGTGGTACAAAAATGCAAGGCATCTTCACAGTTGCAAGACTTTCAGAGATGGGTCTTCCCCCTGCAAAAAGATGGTTTTAACTGTCAGTTTGCACCTGAACTGAAACAAGAACCTCCTATTACATACTTCCTAAGAATGGGAAGCAGTATAGTAATAAACTTGGACATTAAAAATTACTATAAAAATTAGAATATACGGGGGTGGTGGTGCTGATAAGTATTCAGCCTTTCCCAGAAAAATTGAGCTTGGAAGCTATAAATTGCAGGGTGTATTGGCCAATTTGTCTGTATTCAATGGTGCAAAAATCAACTACCTATGATTTTAACTTATCTTTCATGTTCAGGTCCAAAGTGAACATGGCAGCACCTCCAGAAAAGTTCATTGTGGAAGAGCATAGGACTATAATCAAGTTTCTGTTTCTCCAAGGGAAAGGTGCAAAGCAGATCCATGATGAAATGTCACAAACTATGGGTGACAGTGGCCCTTCATATACAACAGTTAAACGTTGGATTGACTATTTTAAAACTGGCCATTTCAGTGTTGAAAGGGAGAAACGCATTGAAAGGCCTATTTCTGTCTCTGTGCCTGCAAATCTGAAAGCCATCCATGACATGATCATGGAGGACCGCCGAATATCAGCCAAAAGTATTGCTATATATCTGAGAATATCATGTGAGAGAGTTGGTGCCATTATCCACAGCAACCTGGAAATGAGAAAGCTGGCAACAAAGTGGATCCCCAAACTTTTGTCAACCGAACCAAAGAGGAAACATGTGGAGCCATCGGTGGCTGTTTTGGAACATTTTGCAAGAAATGAGTCAGATTTCCTGGGCAAACTGGTAATAGGTGATGAGACATGGATCTACTGTTATGATCCTGAGATAAAGGAACTGTCTAAGGAATGGAGGCACAGTGGTTCCCCCAGGCCAATGAGTGGAAAGGTCGGTGCAGAAGCAAATGGCAACAGTTTTTTGGGATAAAACGGGAATTCTGCTAGTGGACTACCTCCAACAGAGTTCAACCATCAATGCAAAATATTACTGTGCTTTATTGGTGAAGTTGAGGCAAAACATCAAGGAAAAGCGTTGAGGAAAGCTCTCCAAAGGTGTCATCCTTTTGCATGACAACACCTCGTCACACACTGCAGGTGAAACAATGGCAAAACTGACGTCCTTAGGCTTTCAAGTGATGCCCCATCCACCCTATTCTCCTGACCTGGCTCCTTCTGACTATTATCTGTTCCCCAAACTCACTTTGGGTGTGTTCTGGAGGTAACTAATGCTGCAAATGAGTGGTTACACCAGCAGGGACTTAAGAAGCTGCAGGACAGATGTCACAAGTGCACTGACTTCCTGGGGGAATATGTTGAATAGTGTGGCAGTTACAGCTTCCTAGCTCAATATTTTCTGGGAAAGGCTCGATACTTATCAGCATCCCCGTAAATTGCAAGAAATATCTTCCATAACATCCAAGAACATGCCCACTCAGGGGAAGGGGGGCAGGGGAGTCTACAGCACTGCATCTATGGGGCACCTGCCAAAGGAGGTGGGGCACAGAATGCAGGGTCCCTGTGCAATACCTGTGGCCCCAGTCCTCCAACCTGTGCTGACCTGCCGAACCTGCTATAGGCAGTGGCGGGGTTAGGCATGACTGGAGGCACCTCTGTGCCCGGGATTCCCCCTTCACCGCCATTTCTGCTTCCACCGCCACCGCTTCCACCGCCGCCCATCACCCACTGGGTTGTGGGTTTCCCCCCCTTTTTTTCCTTCAATTTGGGCACTTGGGCAGCGTGCGGAATCCAGGGTGCCCACGCTACATCTGTGGGTCTGATCCTCCAAACTGCTGAACCATGGTAAGTATCCATCTCTACGAGTGGCTCAAAAAAGGAAGCCATAGACTTTATTCTGTTGTTGCTATGTGCTGTCAAGTTGCTTCTGACTTACAAATTAGTGATCCACCAAGGGTCCTCTCATTAACAGGTCTTCTCAGGTCTCAAAAATTAAAGATTACAGCTTCCTTTATTGAGTGACTCCATCTCGTCTTCAGTCTTTCTCTTTTCCTGGTGTGTTCTACTTTTCCTAGTCCAGTACCTCATACTTAATACAATTCGAATGTCTCTATACTGAAAAGTAGTACAGAGTATGAGACCTTAATTAAAAATCAATGGATCGTTGAAATGAGAAATGAATTGCTAGGAGATTACCTACTGAAACTAACTATGAAGTAGTAAATATTGTTGGAGCATCACTTACATCCACAATCTGCTGGTCCTCTGCATTCTTCAATACGAATGATACACTTTGTTTCACCTTCAGGGCATCCTTTGGTTAATATAACTTCGCGAACGCCAATACCTTTAATCAAAGCAAAAGAAGTCAATTATGTCTATATAGTTCTGCTTCAACCACTTTTTTTCACTTCCTTACTCTTTTTCGGTGGCTGCTTCTTTAGATCACCTTCCAAAATCAAGACCGATCCCATGAATACCTACCTTTGCAAACACCACTGAGTTTCCCTAAACTTACTGTATATATATAGATGATGGCCATCCAACAATATAAAGACATTCTCCTTTTAATACAATGCATTCTTCTTTTTCATTAGAATGCATTATGAGCTTTCATTTTAAACACTGCGAAAAACAAACAAGTTAATTAAAATTTAAATATCAACGCAGAGCTTGCAGCCTTTGTGAACCTGGCCTTTCAAACCCTTCACCATCTGGTGCCTGAAGCATTTTTGCTGCAATGAGCTCATTCCAAACAGGTGTTGAGCATCCTTAACTCCTATTGATACCAGTGGAAACATAAATACAGGACTGAACACAGGACAGGATTTAGGAATTTCGCGAAGGAGGCATGTACTTTTAGAGACAAAGAAAGACTTGAGATGTTAGACTGATCTCACCTTGCCAGCAACCCACATAAGATCAACATCACTGTGTACAAACAAGTGCCCTTATAGTGTATAGTCCTCATAGATAAAAAAAAATTTAAATCGAACAATCAGGCAAAGATATAGACATAGAATTTTTAATTTGTTAAATGCTTTTTGTGTGCAAATATCCCCTAAACCAATGATGGCTAGCCGTTTTGAGCCGAAGTGCCCAAACTGAAGGAGAGAAGAAACACAACCCAGCAGGTGATGGGCAGCGGTGGAAGCGGTGGTGGTGGAAGCAGAAATGGCAGCAGAAGGGGGAATCCCGGGGCGGTGGAAGGAGTGGCAGTGCAAGCAGAAATGGCGGCAGAAGGGGGAATCCCGGGCACAGAGGTGCCTTCAGTTATGCCCAACCCCGCCACTGCCTATAGCTCGGCCGGCCCGCTGCCGCCAGCACTAGCTGCTCCGGATCTTGGCTCGCCGCCTGTCGGGGCACTAGCACTGTGGCTGCAGCTGCCCCCTCAGGTTTGGCTGCCGGGGGTAGCGATCCAGTGACTTATGGCTCACATGCCCACAAAGAGGGCTTTGTGTGCCAGCTGTGGCATGTGTGCCATAGGTTCGCCATCAGTGCCCTAAACGGTTGCAATTTCAGTTTAAAATGCATCAGACCTCCAAGTTCTCATTATAGGATAGAAATTGCAGATTCAAATTCTATGTTATAAAACTTTGTGTTCATACAGTCTTTCAAAAACTTTTGTAAATATCCTCCAATAATTCTTGGATGGGGCCTCACATTTGTGGGGTTCCATAAACTTCTACTCATTTTTATTTAATCTATTTTCCCAAGCACTCAGTCTATTTCATTTAGAAGATACTATAATTTTTTTTTTTTTGCTGTTCTCAGTCTGGCTTTGTGTGTTCAGAGATATACAGTGGTGCCTCGCTTGACGACGCTAATCCGTTCCAGCGAAATCACTGTAGAGCGAAATCGTCATGAAGCAAAAGTAAAAAGCCCATTAGATTGTATTAGAAACCAGTTAATGCGTTCTAATGGGTGAAATACATCATCGTAAAGCGAAGATCCTCCATAGGGCAGCCATTTTCTGCTCCCTGTAGAGTGAAGAATCCATCCCTAACACAGTGGGGAGCCATTTTGCACAGTGGGTGGCCATTTTGGAAACCCGACAATCAGCTGTTTTGATTGTCGTTAAGCGAAAAATCGGTTCCCGAAGCAGGGAACCAATCATCGTAAAGCGGATCACAATAGTGATCACGAAAACCTCATCGTACAGCAGATTCGTCATATAACGAGGTAATCGTCAAGCGGGGCACCACTGTATACATGTTCACAGCAATACATGGATAAAGGGGAAAAAACAAAAACAAACAAACAAACAAACAAAAACCCAGACCTGATCAGCCCTATTTCCAACTTTGACTGAAGCTACTCCAGCCCTGGAACTCTTTCTTTCTCTTCTTAACCACATATACATAAGAACATAATAAGAGCCCTGCTGGATCAGGCCAAGGACCCATTTATTCCAGCTTCCTGTATCTCACAGTGGCCCCACCAGATGCCTCGGGGAGCACACAAGACAACTAGATACCTGTTTCCTGATACCCCTCCCCTGCCTCTGGCATTTGGAGGTACCTTCTTTTTAAGCCTGGAGATTATACATCCCCATCATGGCTTGTAGCCTGCAATGGACTTTTCCTCCAGGAATCTGTCCAATCCCCTTTTAAAGGCATCTAGACCAGATGCCATCACCACAACATGTGGCAAGGAGTTACAGGAGAAGCCCTATTAAAATCTTGAGGACTGCTTTCAGTAGCTTCTGCGAGTGGTGGCAATTCCGGCCACAGTAGCAAGCCTAACTATTGTTGTCATTAAGTCGTGTCCAACTCTTCATGACCCCATGGACCAGGCCCTCCTGTCTTCCACTGCCTCCCAGAGTTTGGTCAAATTCATGT